TGCCCCCCGAGCTCACAGAGACCCCCAAAACTGCCCCCTGCGGCCGGGTACGCGCCGCTGCCGTGGGCTCGAGGGGGGCCCGTGCAGAGCGGGCACCGCGGTGAGGCGGGGGCCGGGGATATGGTGAGCCAGGGGTGAGGTGTGGCCTAGGGAGAGGAGCTGAAGCGCATCCAGGGAGCCCCCAGAGACTGTGCAAGGCCGGGAAGTGGAGCAGGGAGAGACCAAGGGCGCTACAGGTGGCTCCACAGACACCTTACTTTGGCTGTTACGGAGAACAAAACAAACAAAAGGATTTCACCTCTAGGAGGGCCTTAGCAGAAGGTTGCAATGGAGCAGGATAGTCCTGGAAAGAGGCAGGGATGAGCAAGCCAAACCAGGAGCTGCAGCACTCCTGTTGGCGATGCCCTCAGAGATGCCAAATGGAGCCAAAGGCCAGAGAAAGGGCAGGTGAGGTGATGAGATCCTGACCCACGGGTAGAGAGGAGCCAGGTCTGTCAGGAGCATGCAGCTATGCAATCAGCTCGTTTGAATCATCCCCCAACCATCTGAACCATTAGCAAACTTCACCTCGCTGCTCGCTCCCTCTCCCAATCCGTTTTTGCACGGGAGGAAGAGCACAGGTCCCTGCGGAGCCGCGCGGAGCTTCTGTCTTGTTCTCAAAACATCTTGTTTGCTGCTTCAATGCGTTTTCCCTCTTTACGCAGTCGCTGATGCATGAGAGGACCTTGCCTTTCATCCTTGACATTCTGGCTTTTTAAAGAGCATTTGCTAAGGCATCTCAGCAGAAGCTTTTTGTGGAAAATCGGCTGCATCCGGGATGAGTTACGCTTTTCATAGCGTTCTGTGGATGAAGGTGAAAACTTTGTTTTGCAGCTGGATAGAGTGATGTGTCAGTCAGGCTGGCCTGGCCTTATCTCAGCATTTCCACCTGTGGTGGCTTGATACCAGCTGGGTATCAGTGTTGTCTCTTCCTAGAAGCCACTGACTGCTTCAGAGGACCCTGCTGGATACAGCAGCATCTCTCCATGATTTTGCTTTGACCATTTGCCTCTCGGTCTTCGTTAGCTTTCACGGTGATTCATATCATACAGAGGCAATCCCAGGAGGTCAAGAAGCCTTTTCACTCTGACTGCCACTTGCAGGTTCTTGCTGCCAAGAAGTCATTTTCCTGCTGTTCTCTTGGAGAACGTCCAACAGGACTGAGGTGGATTTCTTCGGTTCTCTCCCTACGGACTGCTCCCTCTGAGTACCTCTATCCTTATTTCAGCCCACTTGTTTATTTTAGCCTTTTGGCTTTTCTGCAGAAGAATTTTTGCATTTGTTCTCAGTGTGCCTTGTTTATTTGGGGATTTGACTACCCTGGAAGACTATCCTTCTACCTCTGCCTTGCTGTTATACTGACCATGCCAGAACCTGGTTATGTTTTGACTTAGACAGAACCTGACACAGTCATCCTTTAATGCAGCTGCTGACCTGCCATCTCCTAGGCTGATTGCTTTCTGCGTGCCAAGGGCCACTTGAGCTTTAATTTACGTGGGATCTGATCCTGGAGCGTGTTGGGGAGAGCAGGAGCCCCCCTCTTTAACCTCCCCGTAACCATCTTAAATTGTGCCTCCTCCTTTTCCATGCATCGCTGCCGTCCGAACCGACCCTGCCCACCAGCAACTCTGCAGCACCTTCAGCACCGTCAGGGACCTCGTAACCACCGGGGACTTTGTCCCTGGCAGACCAGGCACCACAGTGTGCCCATTCGGGCCTTGGCGGTGGCTGGGACAGGCAGATGCCGGCCAGACACTCCATGACAAGCGCCCGGAGCGTCTTGGCCTGCGCAGGCTCCGTGGGGCTGCACTGACACCCAGCGGCTACGGCACAGCCTTTCTGCAGGGATGATCCTCCGTCCGGCCCGGCCTCGAGGCCCTGGAGCAGCTCTGCTCTGCTGCTCCGGGTGCCATTTCCTCATTCGTGCCCCGGGGCACCTCGTCGCTCTTGCCCAGCTCCATCCCGTGCGGTCTCCGTTCTTGGCAAGGGGTTGCCTGGACTCGCTCTGCAGGTTTGAGCTTCACAGACACAGGTCCTCGCTCCTTCACACTGTTGCCTGCCAGCACCTTCCTCGTGGCTGGGCCTTGTTAAAGGTTCCCTGTTACCCATTCCTCAGAAAGGGCCTCCCCTTCCCCCTTTTGCTTTCTTTTGTGTTATTTTTTTAAAAACGTGTCTTTTTAACATTTTTTGTTTGTTTGTTTTTTAAGCACTTCTATCCACCTCTCCTCTGCTCCTGGGCCGTGCCCGCGCCGGGAAGCTCTTTGAGAGCAGCTGCCGCCCTCGCGCCGTCCCCAGGCCGGCGCGTCCCCGTCGCAGCCCCGCGCTGCCGTTTCGTGCTCACAAACACCCCCTTCTCCCGCACGTCCCTCCCTCGGGTGACTCCTGGGCATCTCCCAACCTCCAGTGACGCCTCAGGGCGTTACAGCCCCGGCCCGGAGAGCAACCAGCATCTCCCAAGCCCCGCGGCCTGGCAGGCGCCTCCA